AGCGTCGGGAAAATGTTTTTCAGATTTCACATCAGAAAGGTTCAAATTAAGAAGATCTTCCTTTTTAATAACATTTCCATTGGTAAAGTTACTTGCAGCATGAGCGTCGGGCAAATGTTTGGCAGATTTCACATCAGAAAGGTACAAATTAAGAAGATCTTCCTTTTTAATAACATTTTCATTGGTAAAGTTACTTGCAGCATGAGCGTCGGGCAAATGTTTGGCAGATTTCACATCAGAAAGGTACAAATTAAGAAGATCTTCCTTTTAATAACATTTCCATTGGTAAAGTTACTTGCAGCATGAGCGTCGGGCAAATGTTTGGCAGATTTCACATCAGAAAGGTACAAATTAAGAAGATCTTCCTTTTTAATAACATTTCCATTGGTAAAGTTACTTGCAGCATGAGCGTCGGGCAAATGTTTGGCAGATTTCACATCAGAAAGGTACAAATTAAGAAGATCTTCCTTTTTAATAACATTTCCATTGGTAAAGTTGCTTGCAGCATGAGCGTCGGGCAAATGTTTGACAGGTTTCTCATCAGAAATGTTGAAATTCTGAACATTGTATGAAATCGCTATTTCCTTCTACATTTGCCTGCACTGTAAATATACGTAAAGACTAACGATGGTTGATGCCAAAACTAAGACCAAGGTGAAGTATGCCAAGGAGAAAAGTCGATTCCTGGCTTGCTTTCTGTTCTCGTACAAGGCCTTCTCTCTCTTCCTAATTTCTTTTCGACATTCCCGTAGCAACATTTCAGAAATTTGTTTTCCTCTACAGGTGTTCTTTTCCTTGGTTTCTGTAGGTTGAAGGAAATAATACAATAAAATGTATGTAAGATTATTAAAATTCATAGACACTTATTTTGGAAAGCATAAAATTTATAAAATGTTCTTTAGTTCTTTAAAATGTTCTTTAAATGTTGTGTTTTCTTAATGTTCTTTAGATAATATAACATGATTTATTAAAAAAAAATGGGAAAAAAACCCATGTAGATCGTTAATGTAATCCAAGCCAATGTAAAAGCCCATGTAGATAATTAAGTTTCAAAATCCATTATTGAGAAACGTATATACTAAATTTATATGAAAAATGCTTCTGTTTTGTAATAATAAACAATAAATTACACAGACTAATCCTAAAAGTACCACCAAGATGGTAACAGTCTTAGTGAGATGTTTTGTGAACAGTTTCGAGAATCTTATTTTAAAATACGCTGAACCCTATAAAAAGGCTTTTCTAGTAGAAATTATTTTCTTCTTTTATCATAAAACTCGACATTTCTAACATTTTTTTATTGGACAACGTTAAGCCTTCGTGGTGCATTTGCGCACACATCTGCGTGTAGTTTTGAGACGAAAGCGGATAAATTCCCATCGTGTAAATCTATCGATTCAAGACGATTTACAAGCATTGTAACAATCACCATCGAATTTCCTCGTGAAATTAACCACCGGATTAATTACCACTGAGTAGGGATTGCAATACCGTTATACCGGAATACCGAATACCGATATTTTTAGCCTGCAATTTTGTAATACCTGTACTCACAAGTTTAAATACCCTTTTTTCGGTATTCATTAGAAATTTAGAATTCTTATTTATGAAGGAATTTTTATCTGTGAAATTCTTAATTCTTATCTGTGAATTCTTACTCAGAATTTTTATCTGAAAACCAGGAACATCGAAATAGTTTACTCCTATTTATAGAACGTTTTTTGAAACTGAAAAATCCAATCCAAAAAGCAATGATCGACTTAAACCTGCAAATTAATTTTTCCGATTGTGAATTCGACTTAATATCCAGAATTGTATCGGCTCTACTTTCTATAAAACAGGCTTTTGCGTCATTATGTCGGAGAGATTCTAATTTATTAACAGCTAATGCAATAATAAATTTCATGTTGTTGTCACTAAAAGAACAGCACACATCACCATTTGAAGAATTATATATTACATTGAAAAATCGCACAGAAGAAAGGCATACTGAAATAGAAAACGTCTTACGGTATTTACATAATTATAATGATTTTAAAAAGGAAATTGAAAAAGAAGAAAAGAGACTAACCAATTCAAATTTGATCAAGTTTATAGTAAACTTGCTTAAAATTACATTATTACTTACATTCTTTAATAAAACTGGCAAATAAAACAAAAAAAAATCTTGCATTTTCTTTCTTTTTCTGAAATTTCTACTACCGGTATTAAAATCGGTATCCCGGTATTAAGATCTAAAAAATACCGAATACCATTATTCAACTTTTGATCTGATATTGCAGTCCCTACCACTGAGTAACGGGTTCATTTGTCTCACATACAAGAATCCATTCTGAAAATGATTAGAAGATTTCTTTTTTATTCGTTTTGCTTGGTAAAATGTTTAGATTTAAAAGCCTATTATTAAAAATAATAATTTAATAGAATTTAATACAATAATAGAATTTTGTGCAATAATAGAACTAGCTTTTGGTGTCTTTCTGAAATTATAAAAAGGAAATGATTTTCTGAAATTTTTGATGTAACAGAAAAAAAAACATTTCATATTTGTAAGTTTTATTAATTCATAATTCAGATTTTAACCTTTTTTTTTATTTCAAAAGTTTTGTTTCTCTTATACAATAAGCAATCGTTTGTAGTTAATAATATAAGTAAAATAATTTATATCACATTAATTACAAATATACTACATTTAAAAAATGCAATAGTGCTTCATTTTAATAATAATCTATATTTACAAGGAAGTAAATATTTTTTTAAATTTTCATGGACATTTTTATGAACGTCAGGAGCTTTATGATTTGTATTTTGTTTCGTTAAATTTTCTATAAATCTATAATCATCTTTATTATGGCAGCTGAGATATACATCAGTGTACTACTTGTCAAAAATAATAAGGATTAGCAAATTAAAATTGAAATAGGTGTGTTCAACAAAATGAAACGTTAAAAAATGTATAGTGAAATAAAATTTCTGTAAGTGATTTTTATTTTACATTATTTTATCCTGCAACATATCTATGGTACGTTGAAACTATCTTTGGTAGGTTGAAGTGTAATTAAAATAAAAAAATGCATACAGTTTTTTTTTTTTACTTTTATAAAATTACTTAAATAAAATGCAACATAATAACTGACTTTATATAAATATATAGGTGGCAAATAACTAACAAAAGCATTGAAGCAACAACTAACAAAAACAAAACGTGCACTGGCAAACGCTGGATAAACATCGACATAGGTAAAGGAAATATTATAAAAAAGTGAAATGTATGAATTTAAAAAAGCTGTTTAAAATAAAGAAATAAGAGTTGAAAAACAGCTTATACTATTAACTACAAGAATTTTTAACGAAAAAGAATTCTATTGACAGAAAATATTTTCAAATATTCAAAATAACGAAAATGTTTTAGAATATTTTTGAATAATATTTATAAAAAAATGCTATTAAACACTGAACACTAAACACATAACTTAAACATTACTTAATTTTGTTCATTTATGAATTTATTCAAATTATTATTTTCTTCAGAAATGAATTTTTGAAATTGAAGAAAAATTATTTAATTTGCATTGTGCAATAATTTTTTTTTTTATTTTACATCGACAAAAATGCCACATCTAAAAAATCTTGATAAATTTTGTATCGCGTCGGGAAAAAAATCATTAAAAATAATTAAACAAAACAAAATTAATTTGTAAACTTTAATTAATGTATGAAGTAATTGATGTCTTTTTATCAATTATTTTGCCGATAAACTTTAATATATAATTCTCACATAATATAAGGGGGAATTGCATGCGATGTTTTATAGATGCATTGATAATTTAGCGGCATTTGGAGAAAATTAAATTCATAATAACTACCGCTTTTTAATTGGAGTGTTATATCTCAAATTGTAACACGGATGTAATTAATTTTTCTAAGAATTTTGTAATGATGTCATTAGTATACATTTTTATTAAGTTGTGCCAATTTCTAAGATATAATCAAGAAATATACTTTGTTAAAATTTGTTCAAAACAGTTTGGCAAACGTGTGTTCTCAAAGTTTCGTAATTTATTTAGTTTTTATAATGAATTCTGTCTTATTTAATTTTTTTATTATTTCCTATTAGTAAGAAAAATAATTGCGAATTCCTATGACTTATTTTTGTGGGAAATGGAAGGTTTGTTTGTTCCTTCTACAAGTCCATCTCATCACTCAGAGAGGACATTTTCCGTACCTCATCAATTTTCTCACACGCGGTTGCCATGGGAACGTGATTAGCCGCTGTCATTAGAAGAACCAACATGGGACAAGCAAAGAATCATAACAATAATATCAAAAAGTGTGATAAAAACACTAATCTCAAATGCTTTTTCGGTATAATTAGAATGACAGGCAACCATTTAAAATTTATCCTGTTCAATTTATATTTTATTACCTTTTAATAGTTAGCATATTAAATTAGTTAACATATTAATTTTAATCATAGTTGTACATTTATTGACGTGTTATAAATATATATATATTTGAAAACACCTTTCCTTTATTAATATACTATTTTGTGGGAGATAATTGTAATATTGATTTCATAAATATAATTTTCGTTTGAATAAAAATTCGATTTAGATTGGAAATAATATTGAATGCCTGAACTTATTTTTTTATTTGAATACAAATGGCTTTGTATTCTACGGAAGTATTTTTCAAGAAGTACTAAATGCAGTTATGTTGTTGTTGTTTCTTATCCCACTTGGCTGGCCAAGCCCACGAGCCCATATGGACTCATGATTGAAGGGGAAGGAAGCAGCTTCTGTTGTGATGGAGCACCCGTAGGTAGAAGCCTGACTTTTGCTCCGTGACGCTCTTACAGTCATAGAAGACCGGGACCTACGGCTTAAAGTGGATTCCGAACCACTACAAACATCCATGGCACCGCCGGGATTCGAACCCGAAACCTGTGGCACCGAGCGCCAGAGCGCTAGACACTCGGCCATTCAGGTCCCAAATTTGCCAACGGCACGCAGTGTTCCCAGGTGGTCACCCACCCAAGTACTGATCGCGCCCAATGATGCTTGACTTCGGTGATCTAACGAGAACCGGTATATTCAGCATGGTACGGCCGTTGGCAAATGCAGTTATAATACAGCAAAACGAAGTATTAACATCAAATGAATACAAAGAGATAATCATAAAGAAAAATACATTTAATTAGATCACACAAACCTGGAAACCCAATTATATTTATTTCAACTCTTTTATTGAAACTATTTAGACTATTAACCCATAAATTCATTGTTTTCTAAACAATAATTATCAAAATAATTTTTATTAATTTGTCTATAATTACTTTAAATCGATTTGTGTTATATCAAATTGTAGGAAAGCATTGGAAGGTTTTAAAATTTACCAGTTGTGATTAACAATTGTTAACAAATATTGTTAATTTTCACTTGAGAAATTTTAGAAAATTCGATATTTAAAATAAGCAATGTCCTTATATTTTCCTAATTATTCTCTGATAATGTGCTCTACTAATTTTCTTAGTATGTTCGTATTAATAATTCTCTCATAATGTGTTCTATTAATTCTTCATTAGTATGCTGTCAAAAATAATTCTCTCATAATGTGTTCTACTAATTCTTTCATAGTATATTCTTATTAATAATTACTCCCATAATGAGTTCTACTAATTCTTTCTTATTATATTCTTATTATTAATTCTCTCATAATGTGTTATACTAATTCTTTCTTCGTATGTTCTTATTAATAATTTTCTCATAATTTGTTCTAATTCTTCTTTAGTATGTTCTTATTAATAGATCTCTCATAATGTGTTCTGCTAATTTTTTATTAATAAGCTCTTATTAATAATTATCTCATAATGTGTGTTCTACTAATTCTTTCTCAATTTGATCTTATTAATAATTCTCTCATAATGTGTTCTAATTCTTCCTTCATACTAAGGAAGAATTATTAATATATGCATAAATATGAAATTCGAAAGTTCAATGTTTAAGTTCCATTTATAATTTAAAATAGGAAGACAATTAGGATTTAAAAATTCTTTAATAACAGGCTTATTATTTGTACTATCTTTTAAATTTAATTCCTTAAACTCAAGAGCAGCATACCATAAAATGGTAACATCTTGATATTCTAGACAAATACCAGTTTTAAACGTCAAATACCAACATGAAATACCGAGCCTCAATGATTCCACTGGAGAACATATTATACAACAGCAACTTCTCATTCCTGGACAATTTAATTAAAAACAAAATTAAATCTTAACAAATTTCATCCAATAATGGGCAATCCCCCCTCTTACTGGAATTTTAATCAAGCCAGTATCTGAAATTACACGATTAAAACAAGGGCCCCCCATTAAAATCCCCGAAACATAAACCACGTCTCTTCTCAGAACGACAGACTTAATTTGGCAATTTGAAATAAGCGAAGTATCGATCGGGAATCTCTAATTACATTTAGTTGGTGTTTAACGGGTCAATGCTTTTTCCACCCTCTTGTGTTTCAGGAATCCTTAATATTTGAATGCTCGTCGTTTGGGCCCCATTTCGAGTAATCAATAAATGCATGCTTGGCAATAAAGCGGATGGTTAATTTTGATTTTTTTTAAAAATGCCCCTGCTAGTATTAAATTGATATTCAGCGTAATTTCGTGCCAGAACTTGTACAGTTATGGAACACTTTTAAGTATCTAATTACACAAGAATTTTAATTATGGTACTGGTGACCATCAATTGCATATTTTGATTAGTCTTTCAAATAAAGGTCTTTACTTTAAGTGCAGGAAAAGGGAGAATTGAATATTTGAATTTGAGTATTGAATTTGATGAGATTTTTTTTTTAATTTTAAGTTGAATGAGTTGCATTTTTGAACTTGATGAGATTTTTTTTAAATTTTGAATTAAAATGAGTTGCATTTTTGAATTTAAAGAATTTTTTTTAAATTGAAATTTGTATTTTTTTAATTTAGTATAATAATTACCCAGTTAGGGTATAACTACGCGCTTATACAATACGTCGTTTTAGGTAATATATATTAGAATTTCAACTGATAATTTTGAACAAGGGTTATTAGTTTTTTTTTATTAACTACGTTCTATATTCTTCTTTTTTCTTCAATGGGCTGACAGTCCCATGGTGGGCCAGGCTGTCTGGCTACTGGTAGATTCAGAAACATGAGATGTTGTTTTACTTTTTAAGGAGTAGGTTCGATAATATTTTATGTAAAAAATTAATCCATTTCATTTAATTTGCACTTTTAAGTATTTAATTACATAAGAATTTTAATTATGGTATTAGTGACCATCAATTGCATATTTCGATTAGACTTTCAAATAAAAATCTTTATTTTAAGTGCAGGAAAAGGCAGAATTGAATATTAGAATTTGAGTATTGTATTTCATGAGATTTTTTTTTAAATTTTGAGTTGAATAAGTTTCAGTTTTCAATTTGATGAGTCGTTTTTATTTAAATTTGAATTTTTTTATTCATTATAATAATTCCCCAGTTAGGAAATCACAACAAACTTATACATCACATCATTTCAGGTATTATATATTAAAAGTTGAACTGATTAGTTTGTACAAGGGAATTTTGTTTTCTTTTTTAAGAAGGTTCGATATTATTTTGTGTAAAAATATACCCGTTTCATTTAATTTGCACTTTTAAGTATCTAATTACACAAGAATTTTAATTATGGTATTAGTGACCATCAATTGCATATTTCGATTAGACTTTCAAATAAAGATCTTTATTTTAATTGCAGGAAAAGGGAGAATTAAATTTGAATTTGAGTATTGAATTTGATGAGTTTTTTTTATTGTAAGTTGAATGAGTTGCCTTTTTGAATTTGATGAGTTTTTTAAAAATTGAAATGTGAATTTGAATTTTTTTGTTCATTATAATAATTTCCCAGTTAGGAAATAACCACGCGCTTATACAACACATCGTTTTATGTATTATATATTAGAAGTTGAACTGATAATTTTATACAAGAGAGTTTAGCTTCCTCTTATTAAAAACGTTCGATATTCTTTTTCTTCAATGGCGCGAAGCCCCATGGTGGGCCAAGACCGTCTGCCTACTGGTATATTCTGAAACATGAGATGTTTTTCTTTTTAAAGAGTAGGATCGATATCATTTTATGTAAAAATATATATCTGTTTCATTTAAATTACACTTTAAAGTATTTAACTTCACAAGAATTTTAATTATGGTTCTAGTAACCATCAAGCATATTGAATATTAGAATTTGAGTATTGAATTCGATGAGTTTTTTTTTTAAATTTTGAAAAATGTAATAAATAGGAAACGAAAAATATTTTCACCCATCCTTTTTATTGAATAATTATGTTTCCAAACAATACATAAAGAGTTAATACTTCAAAAATCCTACAGTATACAGAAATATATCAAAACTAAGAACTAATTACTAAATTCTGGTTTTAGATTAAACACATATCATTTCCTATTATACGTCAGGATCAAATTCCCAATCTCTTAAAATTGAATCATTATAAACAGGATTATCCACTGTATGATTAAATATAACAATTGGTATCATTGCTACAGAAAATATCAAAAACATAATAGAAATAACGAAGATGTACTTCACAATATAGTCCACATTTTCAATTCTGTAGGTATAAGTAAGAAGATGTCCTTTTTGAACAGCATGCCCTTTGGTCAAGTTGCTTGCAGCATTAGTGTAGTGCAAATATTTGTCAGATTTCCCATCAGAAACGTTGAAATTCAGAGCGTTGCATGAAGTCGCGATTTCCGAGTTAGTTATCTGCTTGACATGCACATATACGAAAAGACTTATGATAGTCGAGGCCATAACAAAGATCAAGGTTAAGTAGGTAAAAAAATAAAGCCGATTCCATACTTGGCTCCTCTTGTCAACTGCTTTCTCTCTCTTCTCAATTTCATTTCGGCATTCCCGCAGCAAGTAACGGATCATTGGATTTCCTGTGCAGGTGTTCTTTGCCTTGATAACTGTGGGTTGAATAAAATAATACATTAAAATGTGTGCAGGAATATTGTAATCATAGACAATTATTACTATGCATCAAATCATACAATTTCTAGAAATAACTTAATATAATTTGATACTATAATATGATTTATGTTTAAAAAAATTGGCGAAAAACATGTAGATCATTGATTATATTTTATAATTATTTAGGTCTAAACTTATCGTCTTAACTTATCTAAAAATGCTTTAAAAATAAATATTATATTATGCAGAAAACTGCTAAAAGTACCACCAAAATGATTGCAATCTTGGCTACTTCTTAAGAAATAATTTGGAGAATAATTTTTTAAAGAAAATTTAACCCTATAAAAAAGCTTTCATAGTAAAATTAATTTTTCTCTTTTGGGTATTAAACTCAGCATTTCTGACTTTTTTTTTGCTTGGAAATCGTTGTGCCTTCGTGATGCATTTAACGAACAGTCAGTCAACAGTCAATGAGAAGAGAACATTGCCTTAAAAAATAACAGTCTCGCATCTGCGAGTAGTTTTGAGAGGAAATGGGGATAAACTTCCATCAGTAAGTCTACCGATGCAAGACGATTTATACGCATTGGAACAATCACCACTGCTTCTCCTCGTTCCTGAAAGCAGTGACAGCAACTAACACATTGTTTGGCTTGTCGCTCTACGGTCATTCTAATCACACTTTAGGCTAAATTGACCGGAACCTATAGTTTAATGTGGATTCCAAATAAACAACGAACATCCGTACCGCAGCCAGGATTTGAACCTGAAGCTTGTGGTAAAAATAGCCAGAGCGCCATTAACGTCACGATCATTAACCATCAGGCCGCTACTAACCCACGGATTTCTCACCACTGAGTAATATATTCATTATTCACACATGCCTGATCCATTCTGAAAAAGATCAGTGGATTTCTTTATTATTCGTTTTGTTTGCGTAAATTGTCCAGATTTAAAAGACTGTTAATAAAAATAAGTCTGAATACTCTGTAAATACAGAAGTCAATGATATCGAGATTGGACAATAGTTTGAAATATCTTAAATGAAACAAAAAGTAGAAATATTTATATTAAAATGATACTAAAAATTATTTGA